CTCCGGATCTTTACGCGGATTTGCATTTTTAGAGGTACAAGTTATACGCACCTATTTCGTTTTTTAACGCTGGCTTTACGGGACGCGTCAATTTGACGCATACTGAATTTTGTAAATGGTCGGCGAATATTTACGTAGATTTCGAAACCTCTATTTTCCGGGATCTAAATTGATATCAACTTTCCTATGCAGTAAATGTTCGTAAAATTAATGTTAGAGTTTTAATTGGATAAAGATATTAGAGAAAAATGGAACATTGCGATAGGAGTGGAGAAGTCTGTTTTCTTGTTGGAAAAATGATTAGATTATTAATAGGTATGTGGGGGGGTGCAATTATGCACAGCTCACAAATACGTCACAACGTTTACTCTGACCGACGTAGCGACGTCATCCGCGACAGGCAACAATTCAGTCGTCTTTGTTATACTGTCAGGCACGGCGTCATGGATCAATATCGCGAAAGGTATGCCCATTGCTTGGCGCCCTATGGATCTTGCGTCGCGTCAAAGGACGCATTTAATTAGCGCCAATCGAGGCACCCGGATCCCATTCCGCTTATTTCATTTCGCGTGCAAGATACCGCGAGATAAGCTAATTGCGCGGGGAAACGGTTACACCGGGGTGAAGCTGGGTCCCGTGAAAAAATATTGAAACAATGGAGCCACGGAATAAAATTCATAAACACATTGATATGTAAATATCAGCCCGCGTCAGAAATAATTGCCGTTCTCATTGTTCGAGTTGCATCGATTGAGGATAATATACAATTAACATTCATCCATTACGGATACTCAATCATTATCCGACTTAATAACTGTTATACGATTTAAACATTTTCATTATAATCACCGGTTCATTATTATTTAATACTAATAAATCCCGATACCCGTAGGAGTTCATTTACGATTCAAGGGAATACATTAACGCAACAAAGCGAGTTAATAAAAATTATCGAATTGTTCTGCCAAATACCTTATCATCGATTCGACATGCACTTCATTTCTATGCCACATAAATCCATCTTCAAACACAAATCACACCAAGACCTCCTACAATTATCAACGAACCGTCTGCGTATCGAACAAACCTCGTAATGAAACCTTTCTAAAGAGATTCATAAAGTTCATACGCGAAACCGAAGGCAAGAGGGTCCTCCAGTCCGCGAAAACGTCCCGGTCGATTGACGAGAACGCTTTCGGGGCCAAGGCGTCTCGCTCACCTCCGGTTCTCGCCTCTGATGGATGTTCGAGGCGTCTCGAGACGTGGGACGTCGACTCTAAAGAGAAAAGACAAATAAGAGGAGCGGAGTTGTCTAAGCGACAAAGGCGTCGCGCCGGGAGCCCCGTGTGTACACTGGCCGACGCGACGTGGACGCGACGCGATCAGACCGGTTTGACGTTCCACGGGAATACGTGGTTGAATTTCATTCGGGTACGTGACGTTTTCAGTTTCCGTCTATTGTGAGGAGGACTCGGTGTCGTGTTAACGGGCACACGGGAATGAAGAAGGCGTGCCGTCTTAGATTCTCGCGTTATTGCCGCGAATTCACGGCCGTTCCGACCACTCGAATCAGACACTCGTCGCTAACGGGCACCTAATGCTGCTCCACTGTATTCTGTCGTTTCTCCTTATCTTCGAATGATGTTTAACTTCCTCATTTATTTACCTAAGTATTCAATTATCCTATAATGTACGTGGAGATCTAAATCAAATGATAATTGTAGTCGTTGCGAAATAAATCGCTACAAATCGTTACTATTGCAAAACAAGAAGACAGGAAGATATCACCATTTAGTAAACATTGTATTTTAATTAATTTAGATTAAGAAGTGCAAGGATTATATATTTACTATAATAATGTTCATCAGTTGGTAGCTGATCGTGAAATGATGAATTTTCTTTATTCACTTGGACGTGTATTACAAGACCGAAGGAAAGAAGAGAAGCAAGGTGGACACTTTCCTACGGCCCCGCGACCAGACGTCGCTGCGATTTAAAATTCTTATCTCAATAATGTTTCTATTTGCGCAAGTATGGTAACGCGAGTTGAGTTTGAACGCGAGGGGGCGAGGGGACATGGAAGCAGGGAAAATTTTCATTTCCTCCGCGCCGCGGCGGCCAAGGAGAAATACGATTGTATCTTTGAGTAGCGAGTAAAAAAGAATTTCATTTCCTCTCGTAAACCCACGGACAAGAAACGACGCGATACGTGCTTGTATGTACCGGTGGCGGGTTTCTTTGAGCGGACTGCTCGGAGCTGCATCTGGGACAATTGGGTATCCCGTTCGCCATAGATTTTAAGAAAAACCAGCGCTTGATCCCCCGAGATGGGAAAAAAGGAACGGGGAGACACGGTTTTTTCGCTGCAATCCCGCTCGCTGTTTAGCGGGCACCGGGGCAAATGGAAATTTATAAGACTCGAGCGACTACTTGTCCCCGCGTTCTTTGATTCCTCGGACGATACCGAGCGCGCCGATAAGCAGCGACGTCGGATAAACGCGATTAAAAGTTTGACGACCGCTTCGCCGATGTGTCCGGGGAACACCGAATCGCCGACAGTAACGCTTTATTCGTGTATCTAACCTATTGGCGAATCTCCCGAGGAGCAATGAAACCGTAAAAATAGCGGACGGTCCCGAACAAGCGCAATTAAAAGGCTACGCTCGCGAACGAATACGGGAACAGCGGAAAGTTAGTCTTTCCCCGATCACTTTTAATTCCAAACGCAAATCGCTTCGAGGGAAACATAAAAATTCATCGAAGTTCCGATAGAAAAGCCGTACGAAATTCAATCTCGATATAAATTCAATGAAACACACATATTTTACTCGCGGCTCCCCCAACGAGAGTATCGCTCGCGAGATCGTCCGGCAGTCCATCTTCCGCGGTTACGCGTTTCCCGGCGGAATATTCGCTCGGACTGTCCCGTTCAAAGCGTCCCGTGGCATCGCTGAAAAACCGAGACGGGAGTTCATATTACCGCAACGGGTTCATTTCAATTTTAATATCGTTTCCCGTGCGCCGTGGCGCGCGGTGATCGCGGGACCCGATACCGCGGGTGGTATTCAGGGGAATAATTCGAGGAGTCCACTCCTCGGCACGGTAACTCATATCCATCCTCGCGGGAAAAATAACGGGCGGAAAGGCAAGGGGGTAAGACGTTCTCGCGGATTCGAGGTTGGCATCTCCCGAGAGTTTCTCGGCTTGTAAAACGCGAAAGAAGACGCGAGGGTGGAGGCGCGAACCTGCCCGCAGCGAAAGAAAGAAGGACGGACGGGTGGAAGAGAGAGGAATCGAGGTTTCAGCGAACATCTGCCAAGCAGGCTGATTTCCAGCCAACGATAAGACCTCGAAACGCTGCGGAGCCGGTATAACCGCGCCGGAATTCATTAGTTAACCCCGCGTGCGCGGAGCAGCGGCGAGCGCCATTTCCAGCGACTCGTTTCGCGGCCGCATCCCGCGAGCTACTGCGGATTGCGACTGGGAATTGTATCGTCGAAGAATTCAACGGCGCCAGGGGTGAGGAAAAAGGCGCAGGGAGGAAAGGGGTTGGCTCGTTCGAATGGAAGAGGGAAAAATGTTTTCTAAGGGATGAATCGCGGCGAGGGTCGCGAACGGGCGAGGGTGCGCCACGGTCTTGAGGGAAGCGGCGCGCTCTCTGTCTTCCGTCGATGCTTTTGAAAATGTAATCAATTGTCCGCGGGCTGAACACCCGGCAGCCCCCGGCGCCACCGGAAATTGTTGCGCGAACGATGCACGCGAATCGAAGACGCTCCCCTCTCGGTTTATTTGCCGGGAAAATATAATTCCGCCGCTTATCTACGTTCGACACACAAAAACGGGTGAGCGGGGTCGCTGTTTGGACGCGCTAGACACGCAACGCCTTCTGCAAACAGTGTGTAGCTAGATCGCGATAGCGCCGCGTTTTTCTCTCTCTTTTTTTTCAGCAAGTCGACGCGGCAGCGCGTGTTCGGGCGGGTAAAGCAGCCTGGTTTACGGTACGACCGTGGGGGAGCTGATCCACGTGGAAAAATAAGTCGAAAGTCTGGGGCAGGGATCTGTTTTCGTGTCAGACTTTGTTAACATCGACATCGTCTACCGACTTCGGATACCCCTTATTACTGGTACATCGTACCTCTTGATACGCTATTATCCCTTGTTATCTGGGAATATAAAAGTTTCACTATCTGTGGAAGCTACTATATTAGGAAGTACACTTGTTCGATAGGATTATTCAGTGCTAAGGGATTCGAGGATGCTGCTATGGCTTATAAATTATGATCACTTAAGATTCAGATATTTATAACTCGACGGGTAGAATCCTGAACTGTCCTTACATGAGACCTCATTACCTTCAACCCTATGTAGACTAATGAAGAGAGATCCCGAAGGCTGCTACTTAAAACATAGAAACATTCTATATCATCTAAAACCTGTAAAACAAACCAGTTAGCATTTCACTGAAGACGCCATTTTCAAAAGAAACCATCGAACAATGTTGCAATCTCAAAGCCAAGTCACTTTAGGGTCAACCTATACGACGTCCCTAACGACCTAACATTCCGCCGTAAACCGGCCTACCTCGTTACCCCAATTAAACCGTCAGACTCTTAAAAACTAAAAACCGAGGAGCAAAAAGAATTCTCTTTTCTTACCGGCGCGCAACGCCCCGCCCTGTGGCATACGAATAAACAGCAATAACCATGGGCACGAGGAGATATTCAACTGCGGGTCGCATGCGATCGGGTCCCCCGGAGCTGTTTCAAAGAGCGATCGCGGCCCCGGCGTCCCCGTATCTCATCCCCGGCAGCGTTTTCTTAACGAGCCGCTTCGTTCATCTCTCACGTACGAGTCGCTCGGGTATTCGCGAGGGCCGCAATCGGCTCGCCGCGAGTGCAAGCGCGTAGTACATCAATATGAGGATCGCGAGAGACGACGCGTTTGGGCGCGACCGCGTGCCGCGACCGAGCGTCCGCGCATGCGTCGCATTCCCGTTCCGTCCGTCCCGCTCTGTTGTGTCGCGTGCGCGCGCCCCTCTCCCTCTAGCCACGGGCCGCTCGCCGCTCGGCCGCCGCAGTAGTGGGGATAGACGCGACGGGTGAACATCTCAGTGAGACGCGGAGTGCGGTGCGCGTATCTGCCGCGGTGGGATCGAAAAGGGTCGAAGGGACGGTAGGGGAGACACGTTGGAACGCGTGGAAGGGGACGGCGAAGGGACGAGGGTCGGACGGCCGAAGGAGGGAGACGGGCGGCCGGTGTCGGGCAATGCCACTCAACTGAATCCCCGCTCTGTCCTCGCGGCAGTCTGACGCCGGTCGCGCAGTCAGCATGGCTGGATTTTCTCGTAGTTTTTCACCGGTTCTGACGTGATACGGGAACGGAGTCGGTCGCGGTTTTAGTGCGTGCTCCGAGCCTGTCAGTGTTGAACAGTCGGTACGTGGCTCGAAGCACGACGAGTTACGCGCGCTGATCGGGGCATGGGAACGATGCGAACGAAAGAGACGCCAGATCTACGAACCTAACCTCCAAAAGACAAAGATGAGCAGCCGTGGCATCGTTCCGGTTCAATCGCGGCCCCGGTGACGCTCGTCCGGCTCGTTCTCGGTACCGTTCGCGTCCCGCCGAATATAAACCGTCTCTCCGCACACACGCACCGTGCACCTTTCGCGAAATGTACCGTGGCTAGCCGCGTGTAAAGTGTACGTTTTCGTCGCGTGACAGCCGCGACTCGTGTGCATCCTCGCTGCGCCGAGAGACAAGGACGGGGAACGCGGAAAGAACAAAAGGGGGAACGGTGGAACACTACTGTGCGTCCCCCCGTGGTGAGACAGAGAACCAGCGACTGGCTCGTGTACCAGCTGGACGGAGACGCACGGGCGGAGGGAGAAAAGGGAAAAGGGAGGTTACAAAAGGGACTCGACAACAAATCTTGACCCGGGAACGAGGGAAAGATTTCTCGGAAGCTCACCGTGCAACGGGAGACCGACTGCTCCGGTGTTTTTGACCTGGACCAGCACTCTCGAGTTTCCCGGAATTGTTGCTCGGTCTTCAGCGTCTGGTGAGTCTTGCCTGCTATAACCTCGCGAACAGCCTGCGTCTGTACGGCGCACGGGAAATCCGTACGCGAGATTTTCGCGTTTCTCGCGCGCCGGATCTCGAACACTGTTATGTCTCTCTGCGCGCGGCGACGTCTGCTCGTCTGTGTAGTCCTCTCCCGGCTGGCAAAAAGAAAGAGCCATGTGTACGTCGGCCGGGGCAGAGTGTAAACAAGCGCGGTCCTTTTAAATGGCCCGCGTTCCGTTATCTGGCTGACGCAATTTCGCTCCGTATTCCTTCGCACGTCCCTACACTCACCCCCGCGTTGTTTTCAAATTCGTCGGAGGAAACGTCGAGTAGGTTAACACTAGGTTTGACCTAGAATGCGTCAGATTGACCTATTCCTAAATTCTTCTCTTCCAGTGATTAACGCTAGGACTACCAATTGAGTCGAAATGGCCCGTTCCTACATTCTGCAATTATTGTAAAGGAGCAGTTGCTTTTTAGGGAAGTAATGAGATTGATATGCAAACTAAATTATAAATCGATTGAAATCTCAACAGTCACAGTGTTGGAGTTTCTATAGAGAAATTAGGTAATCTACTTGAATTACTCGGTAGTATTCTTCTCTGCGAAATTACTAAAGAGATTGATTTAGTGATACGCTAATTGGATCGTAAGTCGATTGAAATCTCAACAGCTGCATCCTTGGAGACTCTATAGAAGAATCTGAAAACGCCAGTTTGGGTGGTCGGTAGTTCCAATGTTGATTAACGTTCGATGGTTCACTAGCGAATGTTCAAGGCAGCCTTGCAATTTTATCGACAATTTGTTTTCGAACGGTTTCCCTACTCTTATCGTAGTCCCATTGAAGCCGTTGTTATCGGCTGGCTACAACGTGAATGAAAAGAAAACGACTGGGGATTTACTGGGTCGAGCGGGGTTCAGATAATTTTGGTCCATACTGGACGAGGAGTATCGTCATTATTTATAATTAGATTCCTTATCGGTGTGGCAGGAATGCTTTCGTTCTTAGTCACTGGCGGAGGCTGCTCGATTGTGGTCGAGCGGTTACCTGCGAGATGATTTCACCTGATCGTACATAACTGATGAATAAAAATCAAAGGCGAATCGGAACCGTTTACGTTTCGTTACGTTTATTCAGTTTTGCATGTTGTTTATCGGTCGTCCGCTTTCTTTGACAAAAAACGGTCTAGTCGGAGGGGCCAGGGATGAAGATTTAATTACGCCTTGAACGCGTTTGTGTCTTTTGAACTGAAAAACTGTTTGCGAGAGCTGCATTTGAATCGCGGCCTCGCCAGTCGTGGCTGCGGAACAGATAATTCCAGCTGATTTTTTATTCATACGCGGGAAGGAAAGAACACAAGGAAACAGCATCCATAACAGGACATTCGTATGCGGCAACGTTGCATCGGCGATGCGACGCGCTGGTTTCGCGTTAGCTGATGTCACGCTGTGACGAGGCAAACGGAAAGATTAATTGCACCGCGACGATCGGTCGTATCGAGGAAAAGACGCGCGCTCGAGGACAGACGGTTTTCAAATGAGGAATCCGAATCAGCGCAAAAACTGGCAACGTTATTCCTCCGTTTGCCGCGTGATTATCGTCGTGCCTCGGGTTACGCGGAGCTTATCGGTCGCATTACGACGTAACTCGCGGATCTTTTTCCTGCCCGCCGGAAAGTCGCTTAGCCGAGGTACCGCGAAGGAGCTCGGGCACCCATTGTTTGCATACAAATTTCCGATATTGTATTATTTTACCGTCGATTGCGGAACACGACCTCGGGTCGTGTTACTTCGGAACTCGCATTTGTGCAGTATAAAGTCCACTAGAAGGTAGACGGACCACGTTTGCGCGAGAAAAATTAAGTCGGAAATAAAATGAACTTGAAATTCCATACTTTCGTACGTAAGCTGCTCCGTTACAGAATCGTTGGGACGGCGAGGGAGGAATAAAAATGGAGAAGCTTTAATATCCTACAACTAAAGAAACTTCTCCCGGGGTAGCGTTGTTAATGAGCGAAGATTACAAAGGAGAAAATTGTTACAAATTGGTCAGTAATCTTCTTAAGGCCCTTTAAATATCTCTCCTGCTACGAAGCGAGCTACTTGTATTCAGCGAATACCTATTTACGTCGGAATGAAGCCTCCCTTTTCAATTTCGTCTTATTATTCCGCGATATTAAGCCCTCCGCTGGATGCACAACTTTCGTCTTCCGAACTGTGCCAACTCCAAAAAGATAGAACCTCAAGTCCAAACATTTTCCTCCTGATTCTACGGAAAATATTCTCCCAGGAATTTCACCTGCGAGCAAGCAACATATTTTCATATTTCCCAAACGCAACACGCTCGCAAGGGAAAACCACCTTCAACCCCCCGGTATTTCCGAGGTTAAACGTCCGGGTACTTACCCGAACAATCTCCGTCGCAGTTCCAAAGCTGAAGCACCCTCGTCCCGCGGAAAAAGCTCGGGGTGTCCATCGATAAGACGAACACGGCAAGTTGGAACGGCTTCTTAGTTCAGTTAGCGAAGAAGGCGCGCCGCGTTTTTCATCCCCTTCGCGGCGGGCAAGCTGCGTAACCTCGTTGCCTCGTTCCGGCGTTACGAGCGAGATAAATTATACATTGTAACAGACCCGGCCGATCGATCCGGGACTTATTAAATCCGGAAACGATCTTGCGCCGGGTCAGGCCGCCGGGCTATCGACCGCGAGCGAGTATAATGCAGCGTTTTTTCCCGCCGTTCGTTTGAACGTAATAATGTGATACTCGACGCATTAACCGTAGAACACGGATATTAATTTTGTTATTAGACGCCCCGCGGCACCCTTCGGCGGGGTCGCTGGATTGTCGGCCGAGTGTTTTAGGGTTGGTTTTTACTGGCCGGCTCGCTCTCTCTCTCGCTCGTCGAGGCGAACGGTTCCCGGCGCTGGACGTTTTCTGTTTTGCATAGAAGGGGTTCCCCGTGACCCGAGATTAAAGAGCTTCCGCTGCATCGCGGCCACCTCCCCCGTCGACGTCGCTGGCGCCGCAACCTTCTTTTTACGAGCGCAGCGAGACGCCGTTGTAACGCGAAAATGACAATCTGAATGCGGAATTAGGTACGCGACGCTTTAACGCCGGGCACACCGCGACCCGGTTCGACTATGAAAGATGCATCAGCGGGAGAGGCTTCGATTTTCCACAGGAAAAATCGTTGATACGGGGCGAACCTCTTCGGAGCGCCGGGAACCGAGTCCTCCCGGGCTTCTGCGGCTCGAGTGCCTCTCAGGAATAGACAATGTCAGGAATCGTCGACGAAGTTCGGCCTAGTGCCGACTATAGATCCCCGACGTCTCCGAGGTATTGGAGTTTCGGCGATCCATCGACAGACACCACCCCTTCCATGTATAAAATATTACCGTCTGACACAGTTATTTTCGAGATTATGCTAGGATTTCGCGGTACATGTTATCGGAAATCCTCCGGGCTCTTTCGGTTGCAGTGGGATTCAGTTGGTAACTGTATTTTAGGACAAAAACTTGTGTAAATGACAATTTATCAATCTTGGTTCATTACGAATGGGTAGCTGATCTCTGGAAATACGGATCTGCTGGGTGCACGTTATGTAAAAATATTATGTAAACTGTTTTCCTCGCAACTGGCGACACACCTTGTGTCGCCGGTCTTTTTCAGGATGAATATTTCTATTTCATTCTTCCAATAATCCTCGCGTATCAACGAGAAATAAATGAATCTAGAATTGACAAGATTCACCGCACGAATATATCGAGTTCTGCTGACCAGATCCGATATTGTATCAATAATTTCATTCACAGAGTGCTTCAGCTTCCATAGTTCTCGATTCGAATACAAAACGCCGGTGTAGGCAGCCAATATTCTAGTTATTCGATCGATAGCATGACAATGTTCCCCGGCTAGCCACCTAAAATAAACAAGCTCATTAGCGTATAGTGCTCTCGTTTAATATAAATGAAGTATCTCGTATAATATAAATGAGAACACACACGAAACTAGAAAGATAACAGGCAAAATAGAAATATCTATTCTTAAATGATCACCTTCTCCATCGTTTGATAATTAAATGGTTTAATTTACATACAGTTTTCTTAAAAACTAATGTAAGGAACGGAATAAGAAGGGTTAGAAATTCGTCCGATCGAAATAGGAAATCGGCGAAGTAAGATTTACGAAAGATATTTGAAAGCCCTGCGGCTCGTGGTTTGGCTGGTCGAACATCCCCGGCGAGGTCGGCTTTAAACATCGCTCGGCTTTAATACAGCCCCGCACGAACCCTCGTCAGGGATCTACACTGCGGAGATGTAGTAAAAATTCCACATCTGCGGGGTACTCCGTGGAGAGGGAGCAACAGAGAGACGAGCTCTGTCAGGAAAGAGAGAATGCTAATAGCGAAGGCGCGGGCGGAAACTTTAAGACACCGTTTGTAGTTCGGGGGAGACGGTATTAAATCTATTTCCCCTTGGTTTCTGGGTAACAGCGTACCACGGCTGCATGAAACATTCAGTGCGCCCTCCCCGCGAGGGGTAGATTGGAACGCACGCGAAAAATTAGACGCGGAATACTCGTGGAAAGCGAATTCCGCTGAAAACAGCGACTTTTATTAACGAGAACGATCATCGGCCCTGTTAAGCGCACGCATTTGTACCGTCTCCAAAAAGTGTTGGAGATCAATTTCGTTGCACGTGCTGTGTAATGCGTCAGTAATTACATGCTTTGTAAAATTAGCTGCGGAAAGGAATTTCGATTCAAACATCCTCCGAATAATGTATTGTACATCGATCTCTTTGAACCGTTCGCACACGAGAGATGACTTTCTGTCGTCGCTTAATTTAATACTACAAAATTATGAAATTTAATATTTCGTATCAAACTTTGTATAATGCGTCACTGCGAGATATTCAAATATAATAGTTTGGTTCGTTAATTTATGTACGAATTAAAGTTAAATTTTCGATTCAAAACGCTTCGTATACATCTCA